CTTATACATAGAGGTTTACCAGTAGCGTGTGTTCTAGACCCCACGCTATTGATAATTACTAGTAGCGTCTGTTATAAATCTTGCTACTGGTACAACATACCAGTAGCGTGGGTTTCTAGAGGGCACGCAACTGGTAAGTTTTCCACAACACACCACCTGACCAAAAAATATTAGCAGCGTTTGTACCTTAACCAACTCTACTGTTAAGAAAATAGTTGTAGAGCCTGTGCACCTAGACGCGCTACTGCTATTTCTTCTATGCGTAAACTTGTACCAGTAGCATGGTTTTTGTACAAGCGCTATAGCTAGTTTTACTTAGAAGTAGATATTTTGGCTGCCACTCATAGCAGTAGCATGCTTTGGCGCCCCGCGCTACTGCTATGGTCGCCAACCACCTACCACCTTTCCCCTCCTTCCTCCCCTTTCTTCTTTCTCCCCCTTCCTTTCACCCCCTTTCCTTGCACCTTTCTTGTTCTAATGCTCCCCCTCCACCACCCCTCCATTAGAGCCAACCTGTCATCCTCTCCTCTCCCTCGCCACCGCTATCTCTCTCTCTGACGCTGGGCACCACCCGTCAGGTTTGTGATCTGGCGCACGCGCGCCGCTCGGCTCGCTTGGGCCGAATTGCCTCTGGACCTGTGCACTGCTGCTGTTCTAGCCCAGTTGCACAGTGGCCTTTTTCCTTTTCTTTTTCTGTCACATTTCCAAAAATTCCACATGATGAAATATTAATCCAAATGCAATAATTCCAACTCCTAAAATCTTAGAATAATCCCACCTATTTATTGGTGTAACTTTCATACACATCCATTACACTTTTCCGCACTATTCAAATTTAAATTCAAATTTGAACAATAAAATCTATGTTTGAAAACCCATTCCTCTGTCCCTGTAGCTCCAAATCCAAAAGTAAGAATTTTCCCCTTCTTAGTTTTCCTCCTAGTATTTTACAAAAATAAGTTGACAATTTTCTGAGCACTTTGACTTTTTTTTATTATTGTCTTATTTTTCCGTTGTTTTCTTGCGACGATTAGATCCCGTATTTGATGAAGTTGCTGAAGAAGAAGGAGAAGGATTTGAAGACCTCAAAGAACAAACCAATCAAGGCAAGCAGCCCTTTGACCATGACACCCCTCTTGTTCATCGGTTCCCTTTTTCCGATTGCATGATGATGATGATGAACCACCACATGATGCATACCCTTACTCATGACTTTACCTTGTTTATGATTGCATTGTCAAGAGACTAGTTGATGCATAATGATGCATATCTACCATGAACTCTTCATGGATACATTTTTCGAAAAAACCCATTGGGTGCCCCTAATGCCCTTGGGAGATGTTGAACTAAGGTCACCACTTGAGGAAGAGGTGGTGTACCGAAGAGAGATTTTGGTGCGTGTAAAATGATGGATTAGATTTATGTGTGATTACCGTCCCAACCAAACATGTGCAACCACTCTACCCCTTTATGGGACGGGGCATTATTGATTACTTAGACTGATACTAGCATGGTCCCACATACTAGTGACGGGGGTGACTTGAGGTCACTCTCGGGATGGGGTCGTGCTTGGCTAGGCGGCCATGACTGTTTCCACAGGGCACCAGACACACCGTTCGTCCCTTCGTGTATGTGTGATAATCTGAAAAGGGCAGAGTCCCATGATCTTTTGCTTATACAAGAGGGCCGTGTATCAACGAGTGGACCCTATGTTAGTGTCGTCTAGGGAAAGGTAATGATCGGGTGCTTCCCCCGAGTACTTGAGGTATTGTGGGATCGTGGATGATACGAAAGCTTCCCGGATCATGTGGGTAAAGTGCGCAACCTCTGCAGAGTGTCAAACTATTCGAATAGCCATGTCCACAGTCATGGATAGTTGGGAGGTGCTACTTAAACTATGTCTAGAAATTTTACAATACCGGTGCATGTGTGTGTGGAAGAGAACTATTTGTGTCAAGGTGGTGACTCGACATGTTGAATGAAATGGCATTGAACCGAACTCTATTTATGTTGATATCTGTAACCTGTTCTCAAGGTTACCCATGTTCATTGATGCATATCTCGCAAGTTGATAGGACATCTCAACTAGAAGCTAGGTTGCTTACTTGTTGTACAATTGCATTGTTACTTTGAACCAAATCATGGGTTGCTTGTGAGTAAATTCAAAGTACTCATTGGCTTGCCATTGGTTATTTAATTGACCAGGCATGGAAGAGCAGGAGTTCGAGGAAGAGTTCTTTGGTGACGAACACACAAACTAGGACGCTTCCTAGTCAGAATGCTTGTAGAGTTAAGGCAGATGGCATGGGTTCTACCTATCAACGAAGATTTCCGTTGCTTAAGTTTATTTGGTATTCAGCCCTTGTGGCTTTATCTATGTAAGACTTGACCATAATGGTCATAATTTTTGTAAGACGATATGTATGGATGTAAGACTCTTGTTATTCAGCTTCTGTGTGTTCAGTGAGCATTGATCTCTAGGATCACTATACACGTGCATTCGGTGATCACGACTTATGAGTTGGGGTCACTGTCGTGGTTCTAAACCTGACAGTAGAATAGGGGGTAGGTATGGAGAGGCAAGATCCTAGCTATGGAGTAGTTGTATATGCGAGGGATTTACGAGTTCGGGCCCTTCTCGGAAGAAGTAACAACCCTACGTCTCAGAGCCCGGAGGCGGTCGACTGGATTATATGAGTATGAGTTACAGACGGTGAAAAAGGCTAGTCAGAGTGATGAGAAAACCCAAGTAATCCAGATGTGTGGGGGTCTTGGGGTTCAAATGAGGAGTAAAAGTGCTTTTCCAGCCATGATCCTTCCCGAGTCAGTCCGAGGGTGGCAGTCGACCTGGTTCTACTGCCAACACCCGCCGACGCCAGGGCAGTCGACTCGACTCCCTCCTTTCTCCATGGACCGAGTGAACAAGCCGTCGTCTCTGAAGGTGGTCCCGAAGGAGAAGGCTCAGGTTAAGGTGTTGGTAGAGCGTGTAGTCCAGCTTATCCGCGACGGGGTGACTGGCATGGATCTTCTGGAGGTTTTCCTTCGATGGCGCATTCAGCCACGTCAATATCGAGGCCACCCGATGTGGATGTACTCTGGTACCGAAGACACCACTCAGGTCCACCTAGAGGAGGTCGACGATGCCACACTAGAAAGGTGGATGACTGCCATCAGAGGGAACAAAGATAACCCCCATGGAGCCAGGAGGATCCCGCCACTCGACCAGTCATACGAACGAGACAAGGTCTAATCACTTGCCCT